AACCGGAGCGGGCAGGACCAGAGGCGCCCCTCACCGGGGCAACGGCTGCCGCCGAAGCCCGGCTCCCCCCGGCAGCGCTCCACCTGCAACGGTCCCTCAGGCTTTTGGAGAGGGGTGGGAAGAATGGGGTTCTCCCCGCACCTTGGGCTTTTTTTGGTAGTTGTTGTTTCAGGAAACTTTATTAAGTCAGTCCCTCTCTGTCTCCCCCTCTCCCAAGAGCCTGAGCTACCGCTGTCGAGCGGGTAGGAAGGGGGAAGCAGAGACTCTCCGGCAGCGACAGGGAGAGACTGACTGACCCCGGACGGAGATGGGGCGAGGGCAGGAAGTGACAAGCTCTCGGAGTGGGTGGGGGGAGTGTGGCCGGCACGCCCGGGAGCGCCGCGCGCATGCGCCCGGTCCGGCGCCCCCGCCTGTATGGAGGCGACTCCGCCGCCCGGCGCCGCCCGGCGGGGGAGGGAGGAGTGGCGGGTGGCGCAGGGGCAGCGGCCCGGGTCCCCCGCGGGCTGATGGAGAGCCGAAGCTGTGCGCTGTGCGCTGTGCGATGCGCGCGCGGAGAGGAGCGAGGCCCTGGCGCGTCATTTGCGCCCGGAGACGGGCTGCTCGGCAACCAAACTGTTGCTATCGCTTTTCTCTTTTCAGTGGAACTGAAACTGAAGGAGGGTTGGGAAAGCACGGGAAAGGACTACTGGGAGAGGCTTGGCAGAAGTGTAAGCCGTGAGAAGTGCTGATCCCGAAAAGGTGGTGGGCGCATTTAAGTAGTAAACGTCGAACTTTTTTTTTTTTTTTCACCCAACAATTTCCGTAGTGTGCCTCTCAGAACTTAGGGGTTTTTATCAGGTCCCTGGGCTGAAAACAATCTAGTGGTAGAAGATAGATATTGATTCCAGCAGCGCTGCGCTTTGAACCTGAAAGTGAAGTTGGGTCACGTGGGCAGTACTCACGTTCCCTCCTCTCCGACACCTGCACCCTGCTTGGAAAATCCCCGAAGATCGAAGATCGCTGTCGTCTGTCAAATTCAGCAAACCCGTGTGCTGCTTCTTGGAGGCAGGAGAGCCACTTCCTCCACCTTCTGCCCAACTCCTAGAACGGAAATCTTCAAGAAGTAGATATGTGCCAGGAAATTTCAAGGGAGAAAAAGCCCATTCGCTTTGTTTATCCTCCGCCACAAGAACCACTGAAAGCCTTCGCAGTTGTCTAAGACCAGTTTTGTGGGTCCTGAAAAAGCAAAGCTTAGTTAGGCTCGCTGTGCGTTTTGGAAGAGTAAACGAGTGACTAAAACTCATTTTCAAAATCCAAAGTAAAGTTTGTAGTAGGTCCAGTAATTGACAGATTTGTTATTGTGGAAATATTGATTGGAGCATATGCATAGATAGGTCTTGGGGGAAATTAGCAGCTTGATTATGGGGGTGACAGGAAAAGGATAGAAAAAGGAACTTTTTAAAAGGAATTCCACATACTGTAAATTTTACACACTAACCAGTCATTTAACTAGTATGTTTGATCTGTTTTTTTCTGTCCCATTGTCAAGAAGCATCACACAATATCAAACTATAATGAAATGTCACAATTTATGAATCAATGTAAAATAAATTATGATACATTCATGTGAAGATGTTATGTAGCCTATAAAAATCACATTTTGTATAACATTTAATTGTATGCAATATGCTTAATCAAAAAAAATGTTTAATCTGGTACCTTTAGAGTATATAGGTGATTTCTATTTAACATGGTATCTTTGGTAAAATTTGAGGTGAAATATTTTCATTTTTGGAGGATCTGTTCCTACTTTTAATAAGCATATTTATTGCGGATTAAAAACTGTACAATTTTGTTTCAATCAACCTGAAAAGGCATTGCTTCAGATATGTGAGAGTTATGTTTGTTGACCAGATGTGAGTAAAAATGTTTAGTTTCCTGAGTAAATGCAGTGTTATTTATACTTTCAAAGTGATCCTGAGTAGTGGGTCCTCAAAATTGCTTACCATTTGAATAAGTTTTAGACAATCTTTGAAAAGTTAGAATTAGAGACAAAATTGAAATGTGCAAGATTGAAATATGGGTAAAACATATTGAACACTGAACCACAGAATGTTCAAGATGAAAAGAAACCATGGAAATTATCTAGTGAACCTTACTTTATAGATGAGAAAACTGAAACCCAGAGAGTTTGATTTGCCGACGGTCACAATAACAGAACGTACTTGTGTCTGATATATATTGAGTAATATGTTTTAACCTTAAGTATTAATTCGTTTATTTCTAGCAACAATCCAATAAGGATTTGTTACCTTATTCTACAGGTGGGAGAACTGAGGCAAAGATAAGTTAGATAACTCATCAAGGTTACAGCTGATACACAACTGAGCCAGCATTTAAACCCAAGCAGTATGGCTCTGGAACTCATGACCTTAGCCATTATACTATACTGTGTTGCCTACACTACATCATAGCTGTTTTCAATCACATTGTATGTGAAAGATATTAAAATGCTATGTAACAGTTCATGAAGTGTAAATGGAGTTGCTAAAATCACACGAATTTAATTGGAATTTCACAGGGCTCTAGAAAAGCGGTCCCCAACTTTTTTGGCACCAGGGACCTGTGCCAAATCTAATGATCTCATTAGATTCTATGAGACCTGGATAATCTGAGGTGGAGCTGAGGCAGTGATGCTAGCGCTGGGGAGCAGCTGCAAATACAGATGAAGCTTTCCTCACTCACCTGCTACTCACCTCTTGCTTATGGCCCAGTTTTTAACAGGCCACAGACTGGTACTAGTCTATGGCCCAGGAGTTGGGGACCCCCAATCTAGAATATCCCTATATCTCTGAAAACACTGGACACGAACTTTCCAAAAATAATCATCTGTCTTCCCTTTCATTGTTCACTGCAGCAACCTAGATGACACATCATTACAGCTTTAAGAAACTTCTTCGATCCTTATTGTCTGGAAGTTTGACTTCTAATGATGAACCTAAGATTCTTTGACATTCTAAAATTATTCTCTCATCTTCAAGGCAGGACACATACACATTATTGCTGCATAAGAAAGCACCCTAGAATTAGTGCCTTAAAGCCATTTTATATGCTCTCAATTCTATAGATCAATGATTTGGACTGGCCTTGTCTGGGATCATGCATGTAGCTGCTACAGTCATCTGGCAGTTTGGGCTCACTCATGACTGACAGTTGGTGTTGACTATCGGCTGGAATGCCCCCGCCCCCTTATAACCCTACATCCTCAAGATTAGCCTGGGCTTCTCTGTATGGTGGCAGCATGCCAAGTTGGCACAAAATGGAAGCTGCAAGACTTCTTGTAGTAGAAGTTACATAAATGACATCACTTCTACCATGTTTTATTAGTCAATGTAAGTCAAATGCCAGCACAGATTCAAGAATTGGGGAGATAGATTCCCCCGTCCTGATGGGAGAAGCAGCAAAGCGACATTTCAAAGGAATGTACGTATAAGAATGGGAGGAATTATTGTGATGATCTTTGCATACAGTTTGTTGTATAATTATTTCAAGAATAATACTAATTAAAGCTACTGATATTGTTAATGCTTAATGGTGCTTTTAAGAACAGCAAAACGAGGAAATGCTAATCAAACCTATTCTTTAAAGTGACAAATTGGCCTCGTGTGATTCTTAACACTTGTGATTCCTTAACTTTTATCCATAGACTTCTTTTTCTTCTCATTTTGTTGCTTCCTTTAAAATATTCCCATCTGTCTAAACAGATCCCACTAAAACACAGCATAAAAACCTAACATCAAGTAGAAGCAATTATCGTTCCTATAGGATCTATATACTCTGGTCCAGACTTTGCTATCTTTGATTACAACATGGCATTTTATGACACAATTAAATTCATAATTATATACCAAATCAAATTATATACCAAAATAAAGGCTGAGAGTTTAGAAAAGGTCATGGAAAATTGATTTAAACCATTCATCTATTATCAACTATATAGAACGTAACACCTAATATTTGGCAAGCAACATGATGAAAAAATGCTTATTTTTGGAAGAGTAGGGAGTAGTTGCAGCTGGGTTGCTAACCTGGAGATAAGTTGCCTATTAGTAAACTCCATACATGGACTTCTA